CTAAAAAATAATATAAAAATAAAATTAAAGGTATTTAAATAATTTTACAGAATGGATTGCATATAGTCCCACTCTATAAAGTAGTTTTATAAAGAACATATTTAACAAAATAAGAATAAAAACTATTTTGTGATGAATATAAATTTAAGGATCAAAAGATCAAAAGAAATATAACTAGAGAACTAAATATTTTCTTATACTAAGAAGATTTTCGTTAAAAATAACGGATATTTTAATTAAAAATAACTGATTAGATGAAATTGAAATAAATGACATAAGTAATAAAAAAGATTGAAAAATTCAAAGGTAATAAATAAAATTAAAAAAAAATATAAAAATTAATAAATAATTTATTAAATAAATCCATATTAATTTATACATGTACCAAGCGAGACCAAAAAGAGTCTTTTTAATTATATTATTTGTGTACGACGTCGGAATTTCTCTGCCTCATTGCAACATTGTACGTTTTTGGTTCTTGTTAGCCATAATTGCTTTCGTCTCTTATCACCTCTATTTTTTAAGGTTTTGTTTTTTGATGAACACCTCAATTTTTAAAGTTGACCTTTAACTTTTTGTACAATTTAATTAGATGTTTTAATATAATACATGAAAAGTGGTTGAAAATTTAACTATTGGTTTGAGGTTAATTATTGGAAGGAGAAGGAAGAGGATGAGAGAATATTTCCTTTAATTAAATTAAAATAATCGATTTTATTTAGTTTTAAAAAAATGAATTAGAGGAGATGATACTCACGGAATCACCCCATCAAATAAAACTCTTTTGCAAAAGTTTATGACCCCTTACTCTTATAGCTTTACCAATAACCATTACAATGACATTTAAGTGTAAATAATTGTAAATTTAAAGTGTTATGTTTATCACATTTAAAAATATAAACTCTACTCAGTATTTATAAATGGGACAATTTACAAGTACTTATATGATTAGTTAAACAAAAAATTTATATCTTTATATTATCTTAGAAAAAGCAATTGTAATCTATTTTTACTCAATATATATCAAGAATACATGCATTTCACTTAATTAATTGACACAAGTCACACAACACAATTTTGTGAGAATTCCTTTTTCTTTTTGTGCATTAAACATTTAGTTGCCTTTTGAACAATGGGAAATAGAAGGATTGGAGAATATTTACGATAATACTATAATTGCAATTTGAACTATTGACAAAGAGGTCAGATTTATTGGTTCACTTCCATTGCCGCTAATGCTGCAAAGTGCTAAAAAATTAACTACTCAACATGAACATTAATTGATCTTTATTATAAATAATTGTTTTCATATTTACTTAGTACTTAATTCAGATCGGTTGCATCATAAGATTGTTTGTACGTAAGACTCTCTCTGCTACATGTAGTTATCTGGCTTTTGAACGGCCGTTACGCCTTTCCACTGATCAATAACGGTGTCGAATAATTCCACTAAATCATGTGAATTCAAAATTTCTCACATGCATCATTCCATGACATTGTACCCGTCAATGAAATTTACATGATGAATGATGGATGTATCATGTGTGACCAAGTAATGTTGCATGTGATGTGAACATGGTATAATGTGCATGTGAACGTGCATGTTGACAAGTGAAGCTAGGGAAGACAAGGAGGCTTTATTACGGATTCACTTGGTTTTTTTTTTCAATAAGATAATTACATTACAATTGTATATTTGAGAAACAAGAGACTAATGTTAAGGATTAAAAAAAATTAAGTTTAAAATCAAGACTAAAGTGTCACACTAGTAAACTCTTACTACTATTTTGCCATGATATTGATTAGATTCACTCAGATTAATTATAGGATTTTTGTAGACTAGATTTACATAGTTTCACTTACATCAACTTTAAGATAATTTAAAATTAAGTTGATACCCTTGCATTGTGAAATTTACGGTTATGGTATTTCTAAATTAGCTTTTAAGTGTATTAAGATAAATTTTTTTTCAAATAATTTTAAAAGTGTCCTTATATTAAGTGCAATTAAAAAATTAATTTTTTTAAAATATTGGTTCCATACTTTAATTTTAAACTTAATCTAAAAGACACACTTAATAGTCAATCTAATCTAGAGTTATATTGTCCTTTAAGTTATGAGGTTCTTTAATTTGTTGCGTAAAATATGAGGTTCATTGTGTCGTGGCGTGTTTCTTAGTTATAAATTAATATAAGGTTGAATTAGTAATTTAGTCCCTTAACTTTTAATTTTAGATTAAATTAGTTCTTAAATTTAAAAAATTATCAAATTTATCTTTAAACTTTATTTTTGCGTTCCTAACTTGGTGATATCATCTATAAAAGTGCATATATAAATCTCTATGAAATAGAAATTTATGTATCTTCCATGGGTTAACTCAAATCTAAGAATCTTCTAAGATGAATGATTCTTTTGTCAACCAAATTGGGTTTATTGCATTCAAAACCAACTATAAATATGTTAAGATTACTTTGCATAGCCCTAGCCATTTCCTCCCAACAACCATCACTCATGTCAAACCTAAAAATAAGATATACTACTTCAAAATTGTAGAAGTGCATTCCATAACGTTTATTACCCTAGACCCAATCACGCTTTAAAAAATGATAGATTATGGGTATTGCTCTAACAAATTTTTTTGAAGAATATTTTAATAGATAAAATTTTTTATTTTAAATTAAAATATTGAGATAATAAAGAGGGATGCAACAAGCGAGAAATTAGCTTCTAATGTTACTGTATTATTACAGTTTGTATATTTTTTAAGCCTTTAACTATTATTATTGTATAGCTTAAAATAAAAAAATAATAAGAAATAATATACCTCATCATCAAACTAGTAAGTATTATGGCTGCCTGGTTAGATGAGTTGGCACGCACTAAGAGTGCTGAAGGCATGACGTCTTCCCTATGGTTTTTTATTTTATTTTATTTTTCAGTGTTTTGTTCTACACCTCAAATTATATTTTATTATAAAATAAAAATTATTAAGTAAAAACAATCTCAAGAGTCTATTGTTTTATTATTAAGACTATCTTAAATTATAAAATAAAAAATTTTAAATAAAAAAATTCTTAATATTAAGAGATTTTTTATTCAAAGATTAGTATGTTATAATTTAAATTATAAAATATATTTTTATAGTCTCAATATCATAAATTTGTCTCATTAATAATGTATATTATGCTAATGGCTAATGTTTAAATTATAAAATATGTTTTTATTTACTTCCTAAATTTAATAATTTAGAATTTAGAGTATACTAAATTATAAGGCATTCAAAGAAGTTCATTTTTATTAATTATTTAAATAGTTTAGTAATCATCTATTTTTACTAAAAGTAAAAAGTTTTAAGTTTCAGTCACATAACATATAAATAGGGTAAGATAAGGAATAAAAAATAGTTATTTCTCATTATGTAAAAAAAAAAAATCCTTTCTAATTGAATGATTA